AGAGGGAATCGTTTTCCAGAATTTATGTATTCTTTGGTACGCCCTGACGGCCGACACTGTGTAGCACTCGCTGACGCGGCGTTGGCTCATCTAGTAGCTGCTGGGCGTGGCGATTCGACGCACGGGGAGGAGGACCTTGTTCGGGTAGGAAGGGGAAATATGCATATGGCCAACTACATGTGTTGGTGAAAATTTTGAAAAATTATTGTTGGTTTTTGTAGTACACTTCTACGCGAATTTGTCTGAGCTCAGCTGAGGAAAGTGAACATATACTTCTCCAATTTTCCATGTTGTCAGATATGTGTTTTATTACACCGATTGAGGCCGCTAGCAGAATCGATGATGGGTGGTATGTCATTTCTCGCTCGCCCGGAAATTATCAACGGCTTCAACGGCGATCGTGGGAAATTGCATCCGGCAGTTTCGGCGGCCGCTGAGTTTCTCATGAATAAGGAGTTGCTGGAGAGGATGAGTCCGCCGGTTTTGTATGGCGTCCTTCTCAAGCACGCTGAGTACCTTCCTGAAGGAGTGAGGGAAATTTTGTTGGAAATATTTTCGCGGCGCGCGATGGATTTGCCTGTTATCGAGTTGCAACGGTGTATACTGAGCTTTGGCCCTTCGGGAGCATTCCTGGAGCGGCTGAGTAAATACTACGGACTTTATGACGTTCATATGGACAAGCAGTTGGTTAATCGGCAGTGCCTGGATTCGCTGGGTCCTGTGATAGGGTATCTTTGTAAGATTCCAAAGAAGGATGGTATGTGGAAATTGGGGGAAATGCCCTCGTTGTTGCTGCATGCAGCACATTTGGCTACTGTTGTTGAGAAGGAGTATAAAATGCACGCAGATCTGGCGGTATGTTTTGCGAAAGCTGGAGCGGATAAAATTCAGAGTAAATCGGTTTATGACGTTTTAGCATCAGCTTTGGAAAATTCGAGTAGGATAGAGGGCGCGATGGGCCTTCTGGGAGAAGTTTGCAAGGCGTATGGTCTGCCGGATCGGCGAGCGAATTTCGGGGCGCGCGGTCGGGCGTCGGCAGCAGCGACGAGGTTTATCACTGATTGCATCGGAAGGATGGGTGAGAGCACTGGAGAGGAGTTGGCGGTTTTTGGAGAATTATTGCGTGCCACGAAATGGCCTATGAAACAAGCGTGGATAAGTCTGAGCGCAGAAGCGGTCAAACGAGGTTGGAAGGCAAATCGATCGAGTGATCGATTTCGGCAAAATGATACGTCTCCTCCTGCTGGAGTGGAGAGAAGTGGTTTTGTCGAAGAAAGTGGTGGTAAGCGGCTGAGCCCTGTGCATGCGTACAGGTTATACCACTCCTTCGCCAACTTGCATGAGGGTATGGCTGCGACTCTGCTACCTATAGTGCTTGTTTCGATACGACAGGATGATTCTCTGGAGTCGCTCGCCCCGCTATTCCGTGCATGTAGAGTTGGCGATGCTGAAGTTGGTATCATACGCGAGGCTGTTGGGAAATGTACGGCTAGAATTGAGGAGGTTCCTCGAGAAACTCTATGGGAAGCTCTGCGAGTTGCGTGCATTGGTGGATTCTCGGACGACCAGATTGATCGTCTGGTGGAGCCGTTGTTGAGCGGTGATGTGGATTTGCCTGTAGGGAGGGAAGTTGCGATCGGGTCGGTTTTGGTTGGACGGAAAAAGTCGGAAAAAATAGCGCACATTTTAAAACGGTTGGTTTTGGACGACACATTTTTATCGAAATGTGAAGCGGAAGAATTGGTGGAAGCTTTCGAACTGTGCAGTTGGGCTGGCGGCCGCACTATGGAGAATTGGAATTTTATGGCGCAGCGAAAAATCGGGGGAAATCATGATGATGATGATCATTCGGACCGGACCCTGCTTGAGAGGCTACAGGAGAGGGTGGAGAGAGAGAGGATAGCTGCTGAAGCCATGCGGAATTTGGGCGAACGTCAATGCCCATCAACCAATGGGGTTACAGCGGGAATGGGGTTCGCTTTCTTTCTGGTCGCATTGGGTAACTGCCTCGATGAGTATCTTTTTACTGGCCACATTTTGTAACTTTCGACACGTTTCTGTGACATGGTAGGAGAAAAACTGGTGAAGTGTTCTGGCAGGGTTGAGAGGTGAAGTTAAATCGATTATTCGGGCGCGCGCTTCTTCGAAAGGCTTCCTAAGTGATGATTTCATTGTAATATTTTATCATGCATCGTTTTGCACTGGAGAAATATCCAATTGTAGAGGCTGAGCTTGGAAAATGTGAGCAAGATTTTTTGTGCATGCGTGCAGGATATTTGTGTGATTTTTGTTTGGTTGTCTCCTTGATCATGGCAAGTGGTTACTACAATAGAAGCAATGAGTGGCAAATAGTGCCGGGGTCTTCGTGTGCTGTGATGGAGGTGGACGACAATAGACCGGGCAAAAGGAAGTTCGGTATTGAAATGTCTTTACCAGGGATCGAACCTGCGACCTTGTATTTTGTAGGTGACGCCGATGGTCCTGCCGCCGCCGAGTTTGCCGCTGGGATTTCCAGTGTAGTGAGTAGCTGCAGTAGCGCCAGTACGTGCTCATCACCGATGGCCTTGTGTGGAGAGCAGCAGCAGCAGCACCAGGAAGTGGAGGAGAATGTGAAACGGGTGCGGACGGGCGAAGCGCCTGAGAGCGCACACAGGAACCCCTACGAGGTGGGACTAAGGTTACGGCGGTATAGAGAAAGGAGTCATTACTTGTCACATGCGAAACTGCATCAGTGGTATTCGACCGCTCAGACAGCTTGGGCTTATCCTGCTGATCGCGCCCTTTAGTGTCACAGCCGCGAGTACTAGGACCAATAGTAGCTTATCGATTAGAATGGCGAGCGCTTTTCAAGATGTATTATCGAGTTTTTGATTCAGTGAAGAAGTTATTTGGTGTGCTTTGAGTGCAATTGATACTTGGATGTTTTCTCCGCTGTCTCTTCGATACAGATTGCTGGTTTTAGGTGATAAATGCAATGCTTCGCTCCGCTAATGATGATAAGCAGCGCAGAGCTGAGGAGGCGGCAGAGTGCGAGAGGCTGCGAGTAGAACAGTACTGGGTACAGCACAATCGATGGCTCCAGCATAACTTCAGTGATCTCCGGCAGAGCAATGGTCATCATTGAGGACGCTCTCCTCATCGTAGCGCATCTGGTGTTATACTGTATCATCCTTCTTATACGTCTTGCACACACTCGCATTCTCTCAATTTATACGCTGGTAACTACCTGTATTTTCAGTGAGTAGTCTACGTTGAGATCTGTAATCGGGAATAAAGACGTTCGCTGAAACGACAAACTCTCTCTTATCACGAGTTACTTGTGTTCCTCAATATTGGCCCGGGTCAAGGGAAGTTGTGTGACACAGTGCCTGGTATACTTGAGCACTGAGCCTGCATAGTAGCCACTGGCTAGTAAAGAGCATTCTCCCAGATACATTTGAGATTCGATAATAGTTCATCAATTCCGACGGGATGGAATTGTTTTTTTGTATCGCCCTGCTGGCCCAATGGATAAGGCGCCACCCTCCTAAGGTGGAGATTCCGGGTTCGATCCCCGGGTAGGGTAGTTTTATTACACGAGGTTGTGATAGAAGTCATTATCTTTGACCCAACCAGTCGTGACTCTCAAAATCATTCAAATTTCAGATGAGGTTCCCTTCGGTTTTTGGCATGGCGATCAGCAGCCCGATGCCCCGTATTATTCGGAATGATACGGGGCATCGGGCGCCAGAATGATTCATTCCGACCACCGTATTACCCCATCTGCAATATGTAGTGAGATCCGAGCCGCTACTAGCTGTGTTTTGTCGTCGGAATGGTGGTGTGAGGTTCAAAACCATCAGGCGGCGGGTCTCCGGACTTCTCGGGCACCCGACTGGTAGGCGCCATTATAGGCAACAAAAGCGCAAAGCGAAAGAACGACAACAAGAGTCGACCGAAGGACGTAGCCAGTTTACATGTACTCTGTGATTGTAGCTTATAGGATAACTTGTGCTCAATGTGGTTTCCGTATGCTTTGCCAAGTTGCTTTCAATATAGTGGGTGGCGGTAGTGGCGTTCGTAAACACGAAGTGGCTGCGAGAAGGAGCATATCCTCATCAGCTTCGTACATGTCTAGGTATTGATCGAAACCATGAGTTCATTTACTTCGACGTCAGCCAGCTCATTCGCCATCGAGGTCGTGAAAGGGCTGCATACGATTGAGACAAGGAACGAGGTAAGGTTTGGAGCCCAGCAGATGGATAGAGACCGTTGAAAATGTATACCCTACCCGGGGATCGAACCCGGAATCTCCACCTTAGGAGGGTGGCGCCTTATCCATTGGGCCAGCAGGGCAATGAAATTCATTGAACGTTAAGGAACCTTACCCGCTTCCGAAGATAGTTGTTTCTTGAAATCAGGGGATCTCGATCAGTGTGCTCCAACAAGAACTTCAAGATGCACGAAGACGTGAAAACTATATGGCCCAAGAGATAGATAAGCTCGGAGAGAAGTGCAGCGAGCTTGACAGCACGGCTCGCCGCATGAGTGCGCAAGATGAAGCAGCACGGCAACAATGTGCATCGCGAGCAACACAACTACAAGCGTTACAAGGGGAGCTCGAAGGCGCTAGAAGGAAGTTGAGTGAGGCTGAGCAACGGGTTGCTAGATATCGCGCTGAGAAATTCAAAGCCGAAAGAGAAGTTCAAGACATCCAATGGGACCAGTCCAAGAGGGATAATCGGAACGACTCACGGCTCAGGGAACTGCAGAAAACGGCTTCATGTTTGAAGTGTGCATATCAGTCTGCTTTCGCCTTGAATAAGGAGAGTGAAGACCTTTGCACTTGCTTGCAACTCCGTCTAAAAGCAAAGTCGGAAAAGATACTCAATTTGCAGAATCAAAATTCTCGCCTGAAGCAATCACTCAATTGTAGGATCACTGAGCTCATGCAACAGGATGAGAGTAGGGAGGA